GTGATTATACACTTATGAAAACATACCTGTAATTATTATATTCCATTTCTGCCAGTAGATCCTTCTAAATGTTACACACTAGACCTTTAAATGAAAATTACTATCAGAAGATAGATCGTACTATTGCATGTCAATGTTTCTTTTTAAGTCTGTTTATGCAAAACTATAGGCTTAAGCTGCAGAATCAATATCATAGCTGTGATATTATCAAGAACTAAAACTACTTGGGGAATTGGTAACTGATTCTGTAGAAATGTTGACTTTTTATTTCAGCTTCAAAACCCTCATGAGTTTCCTCCCAAACGCAGTCCCAGTAACCCTCAGATAATGTTAGTGTTTCTGATTTTCCATTCTTTTACAGTCTGACTCTCGTGAGTAAAGTTTAGGATGTACTTTGTGAATATTTTCTATGTTTTCACATTTAAATTGAACTGATACCACAAAACCAAAGAAACACCCACCCAGAAAAATAGACCTGTCACCAGAAGTCAGGTTTCTGTCCAAATGTAGCACAAATAAGAACCACATTTTCAGAAACTGTGTTAATTAAAATGCGAATTTTAGTTGAGGACACAAGATAAACAGTTGTTGGCACTAATTTAGACAGGTGCCATTAAACCATTGCATAAGAAGGCAGTGCAACGAGATGAAATAATTAAAGGAGCACTAACCTTAAGTGGTGGAAAACGATGTAGAAAATGTGATTGAAATATGTTTGTTTGTTTCATGTAGTAATTTGAGGAAATTTAAAGTCTCCTCATTGCTGCAACAAGTCACAAGTGCCAAATAAGTCAAATGCTTCATGTACGTCATGATTTATACACTCAGTCTGCTTCCGTTATACTTAGTTTCATTTTGTTTTTATCAGTACGTATTTTCCACCTGAGCCAAAAAATGCATATTAATTAAATAAACAATAAAAGGAACGCTTCTCAAAAGACGGAAAGTAAATGCAGTTACATGTAATACCGTGATATAATTAGTGGTGGTAATACCAGGCACAGCGGCAGTACTTCATTCTAATTTGTATGGCGTGGGTGAAAACATTGCTGAAATATTCACGTGTTTAAAGCGAGGGTGTCATGCAACTATCACTTGAAGGAGCAAAAAAGAATCAGATATGGAGATATAAGATACGCCGAGCAAAAAGTTCCCAATATGTGTATAACACACTTTATCTGCAAACGGAAAGATAGTTCAAAACAGCTAGAGGTCTCGCCAAGTTCCACAGAGACATTGTTTAATCATATTTAATGTGCCTTATCTTGAACTATTTTAGGAAGAGAATTGATACCCTCAATTGCATGACTATATTGAGGCTGACGGATTCTTAAATGTGACTATTGTGCCTGATTGTGCAGAGACAAGATGACTGAAAGTGGAGGGAAGATTAGTAAGTGTTGACTGGGAATTCTTCCATGGTCATAGTGTAAGTGCTGAAATAGACAGATGCAAATGGACTGTAGAGCCAACAGTCGAGAGTGTCTTCTTTGTATGAATAAGGAGCAAGAAAAAGTTTAGTGAAAAATATCCAAGGTCTTAGATGAGCCTGAAAAGATGCAGAACTTCTTCCTCTTAAGGGGTTTTCCCCAAGCTTGCTTAAAAAAAAAATCCCCCCACCCTTGTGGTTTGAAATGCAAAGTTAACAGTTTTACTCAGCCCCCCAAGGCTTGTATAGTCTCTCCTAATCTTTTTTAATGTGTCAAAAGGCTTTCTTGAGAGTCTCTGTGAAATTTCACACTTAAGTTGTTTGCAAAGTCAGTCTGAATTACAGTGCAGAGTGAGGGTTCACTTTTCTAAAGGCGTTAGGGAAAACTTTTTCAAAACTGTGTGTGTTTTGTTTGTGTATGGAGGGGGTGTTAGAGACAACAACACAGTATGCATTCACACTGATGCTATGTTATGTTGGACTTCAAAGTTCCAAACTGTACCATAGGTCTGACCATACAAAAAGACTGAATCAGTGATAATGTATCTAAATGTAGGTGTGCATGTAAACGAGTCTTCATTAAGTAACATTGTGTGAAGATAAACATTACTGCAAAGTACTGTTTGTGTTCAATTTTAACACTCTTAAACATTAGCCCTGGGCAATGATTCAGTATTATCTTTTGTCAGCTTTCAGTGGAATTTTATTATGTTGATTTGATCTTATTATTTTCAATAATTTAAATGACTTATTAAGGTAGTATTTAATGTGTGAAGAGTTTTGTCTACAAAACAAAACAGTGGAAGCCGATTATTGCATTGAACGTCAATTATTTTTCATACTCTGTTTTCCACACTACGATATATTCTGGAACAATATATGGAGGTTTCTTGTTATAACAACATACCAAGTTATAATGTTCTAACTAGAAACGTTACTTATTTTAACCAAATACACTGCTTTTGTCATGATAATAGGATATATTTTTAACAAGAGAGGTTTTTTTTTTTTTAATTGCATAATTTGGTTTGCAGTAATAGCAAGACAATATTTCATAATTACATGAAATATGTTTAGTTATAGCATTAAAGGATGTCCTTAAAACAAGAAACTTTTCATGTAATAATGAGAAACTGAGCAAATATTGTTGTGATGGTGGCAGCAATATCCTGCCATAATACATCGTTATTGGAAACATTTTCTTATAAATAATGTAATATTGATTTTTACCATATCACCATACCTCTAGTTAAAATATTACCACACAAAGTGAATACCATAAAATTGCTATTTAAAACAATGCATTAATAAAGGATTAAACTAAGATATAAAAATCTGAATTATATTTAACTACAAGTGAGGGTGTTTCATCTATCCTAACTGAGGCAATATACTGTCTAATTCAAAATGAATACTTATTGAATGTGAGCACAGGAAGGAACGATTTAATAGCCAAATATTGCTCCTGAACAAGAAAGTGACATGATCATTACATATTGTCTGTGTTCTCCCTATCAATCTCTTCACTTAGTAGTCAAGATATAATGTCAGACCACACTCATTAGCATTGACAGGTCAAAGGCATGCAGCTACTAAAACGATGGCTAAGTTAATATGAAAATCCATTCCACTACACAGACATTTTGTTCAGATTGTACGCATTTGATTAGTTTCATCACCCTCAGAAAGGGATGAATCCATTCTCTTAATGTAATTTGTGGAAAATGTACCATGACAGTGTAATTATTTTGAGGGGCCCAATTTGCATTTCCAGTGCTCTGCTAACTAAATGCTACTGTAGGTTCTAAGGCCTTAAAGATAAATTAATAATCTAGAGTATTTAAAACCCATGAAACATTTAAATTAAGTAATTTCACTTCCTGAAGGGCATACTGGAGATTTTTCCATACATATGCAGACAGACACACTTTTTAAATAAACATCAGCACTAATCACTGAGACAGAAATCGGAGTGAGAGCAGAAAATATTTTCTGGAGCTTTTAATGGTTCCTTAGGGGCTCCCCTCTGACTTAGATTAGATGGGATTTAGACAAAGTTGATGCATGCACCTCTTTTACCAAAACTTGGAATGTTTTGAAGTGTCGGTACATTATTAGGATCACAGACTGAATTTTTCTAAGTAAGTTTACTTTTACACTGATAGAATTACAGCACGAGTGTGTTTTATTCAATTTAAGCAAGGAATTACAAAGGAGTGCAGAAGTGCCGCAAAACAGTTATTTGGGGCATTGCTGTGAAGCAGGCTTTGATCAACTTTTAAGGGAAATCGATTGGAATTGTTGCTCTGCCCCAATTTTGAAGACATCTCATCAAACTGAGTTGCAAAGGGTCTAAAGACTACAAGTGTTCATTTTTGTTCCCCTAGTGCTGCAAATTTAGTAATTGACTCTGATTTTTGGCTTCAGGCAATAACCTAATAAGGCCATCCAAGGTTAATGATAGACCCTTTTTAGACTGGCTGAACGTCTGACACCGATATGTAGTGGTAGTGAAAAACAATTATTACTTACATGAGAGACACTCAGGGCAGAAGGCTCTGACATCTGAGTGAAACGTTATTCTGTGTGTTATTCGCTGATATATTTTGTCATAGTTATAGACTGTGTATCAAATGCCACAGTTGTTCAGACGGTGAGAATCCCAGCAGTGGATTGTGTTGCTGCTTTGCAGCCGTCTCTTCCCAGGAACACTAGCACCACAAATCTCAGTGATTTAATATCTTTCCCGTCCAAACAGCTGGAGTCAGCACAAGTGTCATGTGCCATTGCCAATCTGCTGTCATGGCGTCCTCTGCCAAACAATTTATTCCTTCCCTTCCTGCTTTATTAGCCATAGATTATGGGTGGTCGTGGACAGTGTAGAGCCTCTGCTGTCGAGGTAGCCTTGTAATTGACTCTGGGGTGGATAATCATTTGAGTGTAAACCGCAGTATCAGTAAACAGCAATTGAATACAACAGTTGTAGTTCCACCATCCAGCAGGACTTTCATTTCATTTAGTTATCTGTTTTTCAGTTTGTCCTGTTCCTGTTACTTGCTAGGTACAAAGCTTTTTAGCTATGCTAGCATCATGTCTGTCGGTCAACTGATTGATGGATTTCCATGTAGTTGTTTTTTACACACATTCATGGTGCCCAGCGGATGAATCCTACTGATTTTTATGATACATTGACTTTTCAAGTTTTTTTTTTTTTTTTTGTGGTACAACTTTTGGATGAATTTTCATGCAATTTAATTCCCCAGTCGTTCATCTTTCCAACTTTTCATGTAGCACCATCATCAGGTAAAAATTTTATGCCAAACTAAGATTGTGAATATGGCAAAATCATACCTGCTTAATGCAACATGATAACATTGCCATTGTGAGCAAGCATATTGATGGTAGCATTTTAAATGTATTTTTAGATTAGTAGTCTACTGTTTAAAATTCATAGCTTTGTGCATCCATTTCCAGCCCATACCCTTCAGTGTGTCTTACATTGAGCAGTGTAATTTAGTTACGTGGTTGGTCTTTTTTTGTGACTTAAGCCAAACTTTTCTGCTGTTTTCAGAATTCTGGATCCTCAGCAGCCTCCACCCCCAATGCTCCAGTGACTGGGTACAAGCGTATGGTCATTCCAACCCAGCCACCTCTGACTGCCACTAAGAAGTCTACGCCCAAACCTCAGGCTCCTGGGGGAGTCTCATCCATCCCCCCGTCCTCTGTAAGTCCGGTGGCCAAGCCTCAAAGCCACATAGCCCCCCAGCCTGTCCCAGCTTCTTACGCTACAGCCTCAACCCCAAGCCAGCCCACCTTCAATGTCCAGGTGAGGTCGGCCCAGCCTGGTCCACAGCATCAAGCCCCAGGTGGGCACCATTTTGGCCAGCAGCCCATTCGCAGCCCTGCACAGGTGCAGTACATGCCTGCCCAGCCCAAAGGTCCCGACTTTGCCTATGGGCCACCACAACCTGGCTTCTCCCCGATGTCTCAGGGTGCATATCAAGAACAGCACCATCCAGGAGTACCACAAGTAGGTGGCTTAAGCTCCAGGAGACCTGAGCTGGCCCCCGCCCAAACATACCAACCTCCAGGCCCCAAGAAGACCTACATTACAGATGTACCACCAAGCTTGGCTCCCTACACCTCTGGCCCAGCTGTTCCACCAAAGGTAAGACTGTTTTTCATCATACATTCAACACACTCCACCAGTTGCCATCATTTTTAGGTATTGTAAACACAGTTTACATAAAATATGTTTTGAGAATATAGAAAAAAGTTACAGTAATTGTGGCTAAGTCAACAATTAGTCACACTATTTATCCATATATCCTTTCATCCTTGTTATAATTTTCTGCCACTTTTCATACTGTGGATTGGTGGCATGGGGCTAAGCAGCCTAGCCCAGGCATCCTTTTCCCCAGTCATGTCTCCCTCTCTGGAGAATCCTGAGGGGTTCCCAGGCCAGCTGGGATATTAAATCCCTCCAGCATGTTCTAGGTTTGCACTGGTGATTCCTCACAGTTAGATATCCCTGGAATACCTCCAGAGGGAGTCTGCAAAGTGTCCTGATTGGATGCTTGAACTACCTTAACTTGCTCTTGTCAAAATGAAAGGGTAGCAGTCCATCTGCAAACCTCTCTGGAATATTTGAGCTCCTCTATCTCAAAGGCTGAGCCCAGACACTATGGGAAGAAAACTAATTCTGTCCTAGTTGTTACTCAAATTGTATGACAGTAGTTTGAGGGTTTGAACATGCAGAACCAGAAGGTAAATAAAGAGGTTCATCTGCATAACTGAAATCACTTAATTAAAGCCACTTGACCTTTATTTCTATATGCAATCATATAGAAATGAACATGCAAGCATGATATATAAATCTAAAAAAATCTGCCTTACCGACACAGGCCAATTAACCTCATTCTAACCAGTATGCAGTCAACCACATGTTTAACAATACACTTCGTCATATGCCCTTGGGGAAACTCTGGAGTTTGAAGAAGAGAGGGTCAAGAGAAATCTCAATGAGTTAGTCACTGTCAGTATACATGCACTTACACACAGTCACAGTCACATCTGTATACATGACAGCCATTATATGTTTACTGCACTAGTCGAACTCTTCCCCTTCACTGAGATTATAGATTCATGGTCAATTTAATTGTCATGAACATGATTCTAAGCATGGTAAACTTGGCCTCATGGCCGGGCTTCAGAGTGTTGAGCCCTATCTATTGACTTAAGAGGTCAGCCTGGTGTTGTCAAACTGGTGTTTCAGTTCAAGTCATTCCTTGTCAGTTCATCTTTCTTTGTGGCATCTTTTCAGTCATGTTATATACTACTTAATAAATTGTGTGTGTGTGTGTGTGTGTGTATGTGTGTGGCGTGCATCCTTGGGCTCTTTAGGACATTGTTTTTTTTGGGAGATGTTTAATATGCGATGTCTTCCCAGCTAGTGGAATGGTATGAGTGTTGGCGAACAGATAGGTTGCCAATTCCCTGGCAAAAGATTTTAAAACAAGAGCACTGCTTGAGTCAGGGCCAGGGGCTTTCCTTGAGTTGGTCCGTTGGAAGATGCACCTGACTTCATCCACAGTAATGACAATCCTATATGCAATAGTGGCTGTAACAGACTTGAGTAAATCTGCAGATTTCTCAGGGAGAGAAGAAGCAATGTGGCTCATTTGCAAGCGCAAGTTCATTGTCTGTCGCAATAGGTTTGTTCGTACAAGATGGTGTGTGTCAATGTGGTGTTTACTCTTATGCACATTTGGGTGTGTGTGTGTGTGTGTGTACAGTATGCATACATTTGCGCAGCTTCAGATGGCAATGCACTGGGGAGCTGCTTGCCATCTTTCATTGAAATGCTCAGAATAAACAGTTGTTTTAACCTTTATGAATTTTTGAAAGATCTTCTCTGCTGGGAGTATACACCATCTGATTTCATTTGTCTCATAAAAGGCAGCTCATATTCATGTGTATATATATGTGTGTGTGTGTGTATCTACCCACTGTTCATTGTAAACTTAAGCTTATAACTTTGTGGTGATTTTTATTCTTCATTTAATTGTGTTAGGGTGGAATATGTTCAGAATTAAAAATCTGAAGGTAAAAACATGATTCTTGTATGTATGTATGTATGTGTGCCCAGCTATAATTTGTCAAGATTAAATAATAGCTTGGGATAGTATAAGGAATGGATTAAACTGTGTGTTTATCTGTTCAAATGGAGCTGCATGTTGTGAGCATGTCTTGCAAACTGACTACCTACAGTAGAAACTGAGTGTTACCTCAAAGTCCAAGGAGCAAATCATTAATTTACGACATTAGCTAATGGGTTAACAGGTTACGTTAAAAAAACGTGCAAACAGTCAGTTAGACTGGATTGTCTTCTTATTTTCTATACTTTGTGTATAATTGTTTTAATTTTTTTTTATTTAATAGTACATTTTTGAACATCTTTTTAATAATAATAGTTCATTCTTAAACAGTGTTGTTGGTGTACTATGTCATTCACTCAAAGGAATTAAACACCAACGCAAAAAACATAAATTTAACAACACATATTTATAATAAGGTTAAAAGGCATCACATTTTAATCTCGCAAGAACGGTCATAGGCCTGGCCTCAAGCCTTCAAAAGCACTGCAAGACGTTGGATCCACCACTAGTCCTTTTTATAGAACTGTACATATCTGAAAAGAATTACAAAATACTGTCGTCCCTTAGAACAGAGTAGTCAAGCCACAGAGACAGCTATTCTAATCTCAATATATCCAGCCGTCGACAATCTCTGGAAAGTGAAAGGCCCTTGAGTTTTCTTTAATTCAAGGATTTTATGCTAGTTCAAAATACAAACTGGGCCTCCCAGCCTCTGGGAATAGCTCATCAAGGACTATACTTTACTAAATACAAATTAGCTTCAACATTGCAAAGAGTATCTTAAAAATAAGTCTAATTATATTTGTTCGGAACAAAAGTCTACATTTTGCTTGAAAAGCTCGCTTTGGTCCCAGTATGATGCATTATTAAAAAACAAAAGGTGGCGTTTAATAGATTTGTGAGCATCTCTTTGATTTCAGATAAAAGCAAAACACAAATGTTACAGATATAGCTTACACTATATATATTTGTCTCTCTTTCCCAAGGATATACTGTGGCAGAATAATGGGCTCTGTGCCCTCCCCCTGTGCTTTATTGGAATGCTTTGAAATATATCGGGGAACTGAATGCTCTATATGCGCACATTCAGCTAGATGATGTGCTGTAAATGACTCTGTGGTGTCACATCATATTTGACCCGACCTCTTCTGCCATACACACACACAACTTTTGTATCCAAACCTTAGCTCTAATCAGATTTCTTGTTTATTTGTGTCCCATATAGCAGATATTTAATGCCAAAATAAACCAGAGACACTATAAAAGCAAGATTAGACTGAAAGCAAAATCTGTCATCTTTGCCTTTATGATCATCACTCTGCTTGACCCAATGTCGTGAGATGGTCATAACATTTTACAAATGGTGTTAAATCTACTTAAAATAAGTCAGTTGTGCCCCTTTTAATCTGTTGTGTAAATAAACCAAAAACATAGTCAATTAAAGGAACTATTTACACATTTGTCATAATTATCAAAAATTATCTCCAGTCACTTTTGTTAATGGTGACTTTATGTAATACCCGAGACTTTCTCAGTAGGGGGTCTGTGACTTTGATTGAGGACTTTATTCAAGAGATCATTACACATAATTGAGGGTATTCATAGAAGGTCAGTGTCATTAGAAGTCCAAGATGAACTCCTTGAAAGAAATTCTAAGATTTAGACTTTTTCTGATTAGCTTGGTTGGCCCCCACCTCACCCTACATCTCCCACATGCCACCAGCACCCAATCCTCCAATGTGTCCTTACTCACACGTAAAGTGAAGGTGTAAAAACAGCTCCTCACATCAACACGCTCCAAGGACGCTTAATTACCCAAATCCACCAGTGTTTGATCTCTATTGTAGTCCAAAAAATTAACAGATTTTATGGCTGCTGGTTAACATACCAATTTCCACGAGTCTCTCCGTCTTTTCCGAAATTGGAGGAAAGCTAAGCTGGATGATGACTTGTGTTATTGCTGAGCTTGAGTGACGTCTGACAGGGGAGGATTATTTTGAACTGCTCAATCCCTGCAGCCAGTTAAAGCCCCCTCGAAGGTCAATGATGGTTTCAACTGTCAAACATGTTTAAATATCTGACATTTCTCTGCCTTCTGGTCCTGGCCACTTTGCCTTTTGACCTGCACAAGAACATTTGCAAATGGTGCCATCAGGATGTGTCCAAAAGACCGTCTATATACGTGTGAGGGACCTGGCATGAACCCTTTATTACCCAAAATTCCACCACCTCCAAAAGAATGCAGTTAGCAACATGTGAAAAACCATCCAAAAAAAGTGTAAATATTACTTGAGGGACTATTTGACAGTGCTTAAAAAAGTCCTTAATTCTGTATTTAAATGGTAAAACTAACACATACAACTAGATTGCATCACAAACACCAGTTCATTCTTGTTAATTTAATAGGTATCATTCAACATGCTTCAGAAATTTTGTGCAGATCAACCAAAATCAACAGCGTTTTGTCTATGGATAAATAAAGAAGAAAAAAAATCTGAACATGTTATTTATATAGCATTTTTCAAAAACAAAATTACCATGGGCAAGCATCGTACCAAGTTTCATTTTAATCACACGTGCCGATGCGGAGATATAAACTT